CTGTAATTTACTTCTTTTGTTGTTGTTTTAGCATATTTGATATGGACTATTGTCTCCATATTGGAGCCACATTTTCTGCTGCACACAAGCATTTTTCAGTTCGAGGTATGGCTGGTGTTTGTATCCAGTTTAGTTTATGCTGTTTGGTTGTTTTGCTTTTCCATGAATACAAATAATGAGGATAATTTTGAATGCTTTTGCAATCAGAAGCTCCCTTTTGTAAGGTTTTTTTTTTTTTTTAATTTTTTTTTTTTTTTGAGTACTTAGAAAATATAATTTAAACAATAGAAGTATGTAAGTATGACTGTGCCAGGACATTTTATGTTAATAAACTTTTAAAATGCTGCTCATTATCTTTATCTTGCCGCAAATAAATTAAATGCTTTGCATGTTCCAGGGGTTTATGGAAAACTGTCAAAATTATGAGTTGTTTGATAAAATTTATAAACATTTATGCAAGTAAGTCTCACTGTAAATTTTAGATACTTCTTGTACTTTGCTTTTATTTAAAGACTTTGACCATATGTGATTTTTAATCCTGTTACAGTTTTAAAACCTGTTGGTGTGGTCTCCAGACCTTGCTTGCATTCATTTAAATTTCCTGAATATTTTGCAGAAGGGAAGCTTTGTCAGGAGCACCTCTTTGACATAATCAGGCCACTCTTGAGGTTTATTAACATAATCTCCTAGAGGAGAAGTGGCGTGCAAGAAATACTGTTTGTCCACAATGGCAGATACTCTTAACTTTAACACAGCCTTAAGCACTGAAATGAATGAAGATGCAAAGACATTTCAAGGGCTGCAGCCCACTCAGGACTGAGGAATGAACTGCAAACTCCCAGCTGCTCTCCTGCAGGAAAGTGCCATGTCTTCATCACTATCCTATGAGTTACTACTGAGCTTCTCAATTGCTGTGTGCTGATGCACCATGACAGTAAAACACTTTCCCAAATTATAGGTCTTTCTGCAAGAATTTTTAGGGCTGAAGCTTAAACAGACCCACGCCTCCAACTACAGCAAATGTGCTCGCCCTGATCTTTGTTTTGATGGTGTAAGTTACTGGATTGAGAGTTCCTTATCTTTTGCAAGTTGTTAATAACAATAGAAATGTGTAAGCTTGATCAGATATGCAAACCACCTTCACTACCTTGTAAATGCATAGTTATTTAGCAAGCCAGAACTGGAAGCAGCAAGTTGTGCCAATCTACAGAGCCTTCAAGACAGTCTATATCTGGGTCATATTTTCTTCTTTAGGCTAAGAGTCTCATAAACACAAAGAAACTGTATTAGAATAATGTACAACAACATAAAAGCAATAAAAGCAGGGGCACCTACAGTGTTGATGTACATGCAGCATGTCTATTGCATGATAGGGAAACTCTAGGACAACCCAAGACCTAGAAAAGCGACTTCCCAAAAAGAAAAAAGAAAAAAGAAAATACATTTTCCTTCTAGTGACTCATGGCTGCCTTCTGCCACTTCTGGAAGAATTCCCTAGCCCATGAAGAATGGGCCTCCTAGCAATTTTGACTTGCCAGTAAAAATCATGAAGAGAAATGTGAAAGTGATCGCTGTCTTCATCGCTGTTGCTGTTGTTAACCATAAAGCTTTGTTTTTCTTTTAGGGTGGGTGCTGGGTGACCATGACATTCTTTTATGGCTGGCCACTGGAAAAGCATCCCTGGAGAAGGAGTTGAGCTATGCACAAAGTGGTAATTGTGAACAGCTACTGCTCCATCAGCTGGAAGAGCCAAGGCTGACCACTAAACAGAACTAATGAACATATCCTTTCAATAACAACTGACACCATGCAATGCTTATACAAAAGAGGTAAGGGCTCTGATGACATAACTTCTGTTTTTACTGCTGGCGTAGCACAAAATCTCTGTATGTATCTGATAACAGGACACCGTTTTTCAGTGTGACCCTCTGATTTTGCTGAAATGACCACAGCTTTCAATGTTGCTTGGAAAAATAAGTACCTCTTTAAACAGGGATACAAAAGGAAAAAAAAAATATCTAACCCACCTTGAAACTTAACACAACATTACAATGAAAAAGGATGCTGATCCCTGATAAGGCAGGCTTGGGAGAGTGGGTAAGGGAGAGATAAAAAGCCAAGACAAACCTGTAGCACTGAGTGGGTGAAACTAAGGTGGGGGAGGATTAAGATGGCATATTTCCCTCCCAGGCTGGGTTTTGCTTCATGAGAGATTTAAATGAGTGATCTTCCCCTGTGATATGTCATCATTATCAATATCAAGGAAGCAACAAAGGTTGCTGCTAAGGATGAGTGTTTCTCTCATCTCCCCTCTTCCCCGATGACAGAGGAGATAGGGAACCAGGGAGACTCGGAGGCAGCACTAGTCCTCAGCAGGCTCTTCCACTGGACAGCAATGGGCAGTGAACTGTGGAGTAGCCATGGCCCAGGGAGACCTAAAGTCCCTTTTCAGGAGGTGCTCAAAGCAAGGAAGATGAGCAAATTCCTCACCTCAGCTCTGCTGCTGCAACAGAAGATGCACAGATGGAGGGAGCTCACCCCATGGACAATGTTTTCATGCTGCACATGTTCAGAGGTAAGTTTCAGGCCTAATCAGTGTGTTGAAAGTGCTTTAGTGATGATGACAATGGTTTCTTTCCATGGAAAAAGGAAAATCACGTCACAAATTTGTACATATTGCTTTGTGACTGCTCTGCTTTAGTATAATTTCATGAAGTATTTGTCTTAAGTGAACGAATCATAGCAGGGATTGAGTGTGATGCTCAGCTGTTGTCACCTCCTGTCTTCGTTTTGTAAAGAACTTTCCTCTTTGCGTTTTCCAGACTATTTTAGCATGTTCCCTGCTGTTACTTGGATGCCTGGATTGTTATTTGATGCCCTCATTGTGATTTGTGTGTTTCTCACACCGGGTGATGTTAATATTTAATGAATTTTAGACCATCATAAAGAGCAAATTCGATGCACTTGATAATATAAGTACTCTCCTGTGGTAGTTGTCACTTAAGAAATTATCAGGGTAGATTTATTTTTCCTATGGCTGTTGCTTTAGAAAGGCTGTGGCTGCACTGTAATTAGAAAAGGGAAATGTAACCACTGATTACAGATAGAGAAGTAAGAAAAAGCCAGTTTACCAGAAGATTCAGTACATCTTTCCAATGGAAAAAACATCTGGATGTGTGAAAATCTATTCTGGAGTAGTGTGTAATAATATGTACCTCTACAGACTTATCTTTGTTTAAAATGCATGGAAATGTAAAAATTCTGTTTCCCAGAAAAAAAAAAAAAATTTCCAGGTTACAAGCATTGTACTTATATACTGAGTTTATAATGTATTATACACAGCATGGAGACAGTTTTGGACCTCACTTGCATTTTTAGGGAATATAAAACCCTTATAATGGCATCTAAATTATTCTATGTTCCAAAGCAACTTCAACCTATACAGACTGAGGTTGGAAGAAAAAAGTAGGTTTCCCTTCCTCAAGGAGAGGGATTTTGATAGTGATGTCCAGAAGGTGATCGGTGTCAGTTTTCTGCGGTCCCTCCCATAGGTGCAATTTCAGCTGGTTTGGGACTTTTGCTTTCTACCCTAAAGGTAGGCGGCAAGTTGTGTTGAAAGTGAGGTGTACGTATCTTACTTTTTAGAACAAAGGTGTAGACTTTCAGAGGTCTTGGATTTTGGGTTTTACTCTCAAAATGAACTTGCAAATCGAATTGTTTTGCATCTTACTGGAAAGTAAAATGTATTTGAAGCAGTCCTGTATACACCAGCCTGCCATGCACCTGATTTTCCACTATTTGTAAGCATTTTGGAAATCACAGCTCACATGCAAAAAAAAAATAAAGAAATAAAATCAGAACGTGTAGAAATATGAAAGCATTTTGCAGCTTGTTGTCAGACCAGTAAATTTCAGACAGTGTTCATTTCCCCAAGTGAAACATCACAGTTTGAAAGAAATCGATTTCTAAAACAGGCTCGGGAAGATCTGTCACAGAAGAGTCTGCTGCCGCACGCCACGAGTGTCATCCCGTCCAGACCCCGCGCCTACTTGTGAGCGCAGACGCTGGCTGTCTATCGCTAGCATTGCCCGGGCTTACACCTGGGATAGCACAGCGTGGACCTGCAAATGGCAAGTGTTAAGGAGGAGCTGCAAATGTTTCACCGGGGAGCGGCGGGCCGAGGGTCCCGCTCGGCGGGCCGGGCTCGGGCAGGGACAGCGCGGCCCGGGAGCTGCCCCTCGGCCGAGCCCACACCGGGCCGAGCTCCGGGCACTCGAGGGGGAGAGGCAGCCCCGGAGCCGGGCGGGGAGGGCCGGAGGGAGCCCTTCGGGAGCGGCCGGCTCCGGCCGCGGCGGGAGCGGCGAGGGAGGCGAGGGGAGATCGGCGGCCCCGGCCGGGTGGGCAGGCGGGGAGCGGAGCCACTCCGCAGAGCTCCCGGCCGACAGCCTCCGACCCCTCTCTCTCTCCCTCCCTCCCTCCCTTCCTTCCTTCCTTCCTTCTTTCCCTCATTGGATCTCGCCGCTCGCTGGCGGCTGGCAAAACCTGCCCGCAGCACGAAGGGCGCTGACACAAGCCGGGGACGAGCCCGCCGGAGGCAGCCGGAGCCGCCGCGCTCTGCCCAGGTACCCCGGCCCTGTCCGAGGATCCGCGTTTCCTCCCCTGCTACTCCTCTTCTACCTTTTCCTCCTCTTCTTCTTTCCTCCTCTTCTGCCCGATCCTCGCCCTTTCCCCCCGCCCCTCCCGCAGAGCGGCCGCGGGCGCAGCCCCCCGACGCCGCCGCCGGGCCGGGAGGTGCTCGGCGGGGCCAGGGAGGGAGTGGCCGGGCATCTCCCGGCAGGGAAACGGGGTCTGGGGCTGGCAGCCTGTCTGTGCGTGTGTGCGCCGGGGGGGAGGGAGGCATGGGGGCCGGGGGGTGCCGGAGGAGGGACTATGGGGAGAGGAAGGTATAAGAAGGGATGCGGGCAAGGGAGGGGGGTGATGGACAGAGGGGGTGCGGGGCCGAGGGGCAGGCGCTGACAGCTGCTTTCCCCGCACCCACAGTCCCCTCCCCCGGTGCCGCCGTGGGGTGGGACTCCCCGGCGGGCCGCGGTCTCCCGTCCCGCTCCCCCCCCCCCCGCCGCTGCCCGGCGCCGGGGGTCGGTGCTGGGGCGGGCGTGCCGGGGTGGGCGGGCTCCGCCACCCGACGGCGCGTCCCGGACGCTGCCCCGCAGCCGGCGGGTGGGCAGCGGCACCCCCGGGACGATGCCGCGGCTCGGCGGGGGCTGGCCGGCCGCCCCGCGCCTCTCCCCGGCCTCCGCCGCCGTCCTGCTGGGCGTCCTGTGCCTGCCCGGGGCGCCGGCCTCCTCCCTGCTCACAGGTACGGGGGCGCGGGCTGCGCGGGGCCCACCTGCGCCGGGTGGCATTGCGCGGGAAGGGCGGCCCCAGGTGTACCCGCGTGGGCTGGGGCAGGTGAGCACGGTAACCGTGCCGCTCTGCCCCCCAAAAAGGTTTTCTTATTCTTTTTCTTCCCCCGCCCCATTCTCCGTTTCCCCTGGAGGGTTTTATCTTCCTGAGATCTGGGGCATGGAGCGAAAAGCAGAATCAAATTCTAGAGCAAGCGAGGAGCCATTAGACTTTGAGGAGTGATTCCAGCATGACAGAATACCGACTAATCAGCATTAGGGCTGTTAAGGGTTTCCTAATTTGATTCCTTTTGACAGTCAGCCTGCTAATTTTGACTCATTTGCCAAGTGGTTGCTGTGCATTAAAAGGATGCTTGGTTAAGGGCTTGTGCTGGTCCAAGTCCTCAGAGTGCAATGGACAGCTGTCTGCTGAGTTCGGTGAGCTCTGGATCTATCATTATAGACGTATCCTGCTTTGCATGGAGTACTCGTTATTCTCCACACGTCATCTGAGAGAAGAAAAAGCGTCCTTCTTTGCTATAACTGGGGCACAAAGAAAGTCTAGGTTTGTGCAGCACTAAAAGGCCACTCATTTCCTTGTTCTCTTTAGAGTCTTGCAGAAATGCTGAATGTCCTTGCCTGATTAAATTGGGCAAATTACTAAAGGGTTTAAAATCGAGGGCTAGGAATGGAGCAAGGGTTAAACATGAACGTGACGAGGATAGTTTCCAAAACTGTCAGGGTGAAATGAAATATGCTAGTATTTTAAAAAATTTATTTCTATTTCAGGATCGGTTGCAAAATGTGAAAATGAAGGGGAAATTTTGCAGATACCTTTTATCACAGACAACCCTTGTATAATGTGTGTTTGCCTGGTAAGTGTGTATTTCAGCTAGTAAGAACATCCAGACGTGTACTAAATGTAACTGCATAGAGAGGGGAATGTTTCAGATAATCAAATCTTGGGTGACTCTGTTGCCTTTATGTAACACAAGGTTATCTCAGAGCTGAGCTAATTGAAAGTAACCCAATATGTGATCTGGCAATCATTTCTTTGACTTTAAAACCTGGGCACAAAGTTGTACATGACTTTATTTCAGGATGTTGTGAAACCCTGTTTACCATGTGAATTTTTGGGGAGAACTTTCACAGAGTTGGGGGTGCACCCAGAAGCCTTTGCTTAAAGCTCAGCAAAAAGAAGGAAAGGTAAGGTTTGGAAATGCTGCTGCTTTGGGCTCCCACCTGGTCCCTGTCACAATTTCAGTGGGTGAGGAACTCCACAAGGGTGCAACGTGACTGTATGTGCTGTAATAACATGACAGTGAAAGGACAAGTGATGCGTTCATCAGAGTGCTTTGCCTGCTGTGCTGGGAGTTCAGCGGTTAATGGTGTTGTTAGCTGATACACATTTTGGGGAGACACATTCTGCTTCCTTGTCGTTCTGTTTCAGAGTTAAGCATTTTTGGGAGCAGTTCGGTGGGACAAGCCAAGGCCTAGGAGTTATTGTAAAACAATCATTCTAAATAAAACTTCCTATGATATTTTGAAATAAAAGCCATAAACCTTAATTTGCTGTTGAATGCAAAGAAAAGTATAGGCTAAAAAGCCCTATGTTCTACATTTTGGAATTTACAGAGTGGCTGAATGTACAGAACGTGTTCTACTTTAGGACTGAAATATCAACACACCCTCTCCCCCTAATATTATTGCTATTAATGTTATTGTAAATCTAGAAAAGATGTGAAGAATTGTTTCAGACTGCCTTTTAGAAGGCAGTTTTGGCAATTGCAGGATCAAGGTCATCTTGAACCCCTTGAGGTTGACATCTGTCACTGCACTGAGTTTAGTAGATTTTAGGTGAGATAATTGATAACTTTTTAGGCAATATTGATAAAGAATACCTTATTGATTTCTTCTGAGCAGAGTCGGGTGGGAAAAAGAGGAGCATGGGATGTGGCCAGTAAAGAAATCAAAGGGAAAATAGAAAGAGAGACGAAGCTGTGTTTTATCACGGATCACCTTCCCAAATATGTCCGCCACCACTTTTGCTAATGGAAGCTGGTGTTAACCAGCGAGGAAGCAATTTATCTGTGAAAGAGCAGAAGTTCAGTCTTGGGCATCAGGGCAATAATGCATAAGGGTAAAACACTTGTATGTATAGATCTCTCTAGACCTTGGCTTTATTAAATCAATGAGCACCCTTTTAGTGTGTGAGCATGAAGAACTGCAAAAAGCATTGGATGTAAGAACTCTAAATCCCTGTGGTTTGCAGGGCTTACTTTAGTGAAATGGCAGCTGAGGGCATTTGGCTCCCTTCTGTGCCAGGAGAACACTATGTTTTATTAAGTGCACAGATGCCTGGTGAGTTACTGCAGTTACCTGCCCTGGCTACACTCGGGTTTATTTCTGCCAAAGGATAAATGCAATCTCTGTTTCTTGACTTGGAAGCTGGGAGACTTGGTAGAGGAGGTGGAAACCAGTCTGGAGATACTGGCTTTAGTGCTGTGTGAAATCCAAAGTGTTGACTTACTGGACTGCCTGTAGCTGAAATCTTTGTTTAGTTCTGCCACAAGGGAAAAGATCAATTTTAAGAGGTCTAGAGAAAGAGGAAACAAAAGAAAAAATGGGGTGATTTGTGACCAGGAGGGAATAGAAAACCAGATTGCCTTACATTCAACTAGAAATATTGATTGTTTAATAACAATTCAGTGAGGAACTTTTTCTGGAAGAGTGATCGTACTCTTCAAGGGCAAACCTGATGGATGTTCATACTGTAAGAAGTGAGCAATTAAAAAGAGAGCTTGATCAGCTGTTACAGAAGGAAGCAATTGCTGCTTAGGAGATGACAGAAAATTCAACAGAGGGCACCTATATTAAAAACACCAGTAAAGGGAGTCACTGGAATTGCAGATTGGATTATGGCATGTCTTCCTTAGTGGTGACGCATTTCCATGGCCACAGGCTGCCATAAATAACAACACAAGTTATGGAAATCTGAACAGATCTGGGATGAAGAGGAATATCTAAATAACTGGATGCCCCATCCCTGGCAATGTCCAAGGCCAGGGATGGGGGTCCTGTACAGCCTGATCGAATGCATGGCAACCCTGTCCATGGTGAGGGGTCTGGAACTAGGTGGTCTTTGGGGTCTCTCTAATCCAAACCATTCTATGATTCTATTAACTCCCTTCCAGGACTTTGACCATCTCACAGATTAGAGGACACAGAACTGAAATGCAGGAACTGTATCATTAAGTGTTTGACAAAGCTTTGCAGTCTGTCCTGTGGAGCATGCGGGTGCATCCTAGTAAGAGGGAACAAGAGGTAGCACAAGCAAAATGACCTCTGGCTTTCTCTTAATAGGCTAAATCATTTTGGAGGGTAATGCAACAGGTAGTGCTCTAGGAGCAAATGTGGTAAACATTGGAAGCTCATGGATAATGAGTAAGTTGCAATAATGAAATGAAGACTGCAAAGAGCAATTACAAAATCAATTCCTTTTACACCACTGGAAAGTCTTGGCAGGAAGACCAAAACCAAAATTGTTCTCATTGATTAGCAGAGACAGGGTGGACTGATCTTCATCGTAGGAACGTGAGCAGAAGCAAAGCAGATGGAGCACAGACTGCTGTCTGTGGACACCTCTTTGGTAGAAGCTTCTATCTCTTGTTTTTGAATTTTATTGTTAACACAAACCCCTGAGTCTTGAATACAAGAGGGACGCTGGTGGGGATCTCCTAGAGATAGCCAAGTTTAGCTACCAAACCAGATTTGCTCATTCTTGAGCACTTGCTGTAACATGTGGAAAGGGAAACTGAGGTGATACAGAAGTTCACATGTGCTGGAGGTTTCATACATGGTGTGTGGTAAGCCATTCACTTCTGAACTATAGGTAATGCTTTCTAATAAAAAGGCACTGTGCCCACAGTGAGATAGCTCTGCTTTTGGTGTCCCTGCTTCTCAAAATGAATTGTGTTGGAGTGCATGGAACAGCTCTGATGCTGGCTTTTAATATAAGGAAACAGGTAAGACTAAGGGTGTGTAGGTGTGTGTGTACATAAACACTGTAATGCTCTGCATGCAAAAACTATCAGCTGAATAAACCTCTATGGGTAAAATCTCAAGTTCCCACAATTATAATTTATATGTTCCTACTTAATGGTCTTAATAATGCCATATAAAAATGGTAATTTTTAATACCTCTAAGACAAAAGTTTCAATGTGAACTTTTACGATTACCACACTTTAGCAATGGCATAAACATGAGTGAATTTGATCTCCAAAGAACTTGTCATTATTACAGCTGACTGCAACAAATGGCCATTTTGTTTTTGTCCTTTTAGAGAAAAAGATCAAAGTCAAAGAACAGAATGTGGTTTATCCACAAGGAATTTCTTGTAGGACTGATGAAAGCTCAGGTCTCCTAACTCCTGGTGTAATGGTTTGACTACAAAGACATTGCTTTTTACTTCATGCACTTCCACTTTTCGAGAGGATGTGGGTGACGCAGTCACAATCTGAACATACTCCTTTTCTTTCCTGTCTCTCTGGCAGCAGGCAGACTGCACAGATGCCACGTTTTTGGTATGTCTGTTCTCCTGAGCTTCTTCTAAGGCATGGATGGGCAAAAGACAAATTAAAGATGTCTTCATGATCCAGAGGTTTGGGGAAGTATGCTTTATGACTTGCTGTTGCTTTCTGCAAAATGCTGTTAGAACCAGAGTGCTTTGGTGCTCTGCCCACTTCTACTCTGAATGTCTTGTGGCTCTGCATCTCCTTGGAGATGCACTGCCTCCGGAAATAAAACATCCGGCCTTGTTTTCCATAGGATCTGAGATACTGGAAAAGGGCAAGGAAGGCTGAAGGCAACTGAAAGTACCTGCTTTCAAATGCATTCACCTTATTTGCTGTTAAACACAGACAATGGAGAAAGTACTTAGAGCTGATGGGTAATACAGATACACAGAAGTTGCACTGGAAAATTGTTTTTCTGATCATGCCATGGCTGAGCATCCCATTGCAACTGTGTTTATAGCTAAAGACTTTTCTGGTGAAAGGGTGGGAAATGCTCTCAGCTGAACCAAGCTGGGTATCAGATGAAGGCAGACACTGGAAGGAAATGCTGTATGTGATGCAAGTTAACCAACCCTATGAAGAAAAATAGTCCAAAAAAGGGAAACTGTTATTTCAGATAATGGTGTGGCCCCTGACAGTGCAAAAAATGTTGAAGAACATATGATTGTGACACTGCGTCATGCTTAATGGTCAACAGTAAAAATGTCTTAAGTCTTGTTGGCTTCTGAAAATCAAAGTAGTGAAAGTGTGGGTTATGAAGATTAGTGAAAAAAAAATTGTGTTTCAGGGAACTAGTATGAATTGGTAACGATGATTATAGGTAAAAATACATAATCTAGATGGTATTCATAATGGAGTAATATTGATTCACTCTGAGAAATTGATTCCAGTTATTAAATGCTTTAAGACTGCAAATGATTAATGCAAAAATGGTCTTCTAAAATTATCTTCCCACATCTGTGGAAAAATGATTTTTTTATAAATCCATAGGAACACTTTGCACATTTTGTGCAGTTTGAGGAGCCCAAATATGTTGCGTATGACAAATTCAGATATTTCTCTATTATATGTGTAAGTTTTGGGCTGAAGGTAGTAGAGGCATAAGTAAATTTCTGTTAGTAGAACCAAATAAGGCTCCATAAATATGAAAGCCTAGCACACTTTGGTAAGTTTGGGACTTTTTGTATATTGAGGATTTTGAAATGTTAGGGGGAAAATGCTATTAACAAACCATTAGGAGAATTTTTGATTAGATTTCTTTTATTTGACTGTCAGCATTTAAAACAGGCATGGAATATTT